CACAGCTGGACTCACCTTGCCACTGAACCGGGAAACCCGCTAAATGCCCGTCTCAGTCATTAGCCCCAGGGAGCCCAACTTCTGTCAACTGCTTTCGACTGTGATCCTTTTCCGAGGGATTACGAAGTTAACTTCTATTTCTCTTCCCTTCTGTTCTCAGCACAACTTAATAAAACAGAACGACTGCTAAACACTTGAATAAAATAATCCAAATTTGCAAAACACATCAGTTCAGGTGACTGTTTTCGTTACCAAGATACTTTTGCCTTTTGCAAAACAGATCACTGCAGCTTTCTGTAACACATTTGAAATATGCTGAAATCCAAACTCTTTGTTTATGTCCTTTTAGAAACACTCATATATATCCAGGCGCACCTGTAAATTTACATGAAGCAATACATCATCTTTATTTAAGTCTTGTCTACTCCATAATAGCTTGGAGGGAAGGTTTTATGTTAATTTTGCAAACTGGGAAGACACAGCTCAAGGCAAGAAAAGACTAAAAAGATGTGCATTCATCCCTTGTCTCCTGCTCCAGGAAAGTCACTGGAGGGGCACCCTAATTAAATTAAATTGGCTAAACGTTTACTTAGCACCTACTCTGTTTCCAGCAGACAATGCACAGACATTAAGGACAGAAAGTATGTGAGGGGTGCGGCCACCACCCTCAAGGAGGGTGGCTTAGTTGGGAAAAAGTCTCACAGATAAATAGCTGAGACACAGCGTGGCAGGCCTGTCCTGAGAGGTGGTGACAAGACCATGCGGGGATGAGATGAGCCTCCTGAACAGTCAGAAACGGGCTCACTGCGCGTGTGCGTGACAATCTAAACACGCCGACTGTCATCTCATCGTCTTAGGTATTTGCCCTCTTAACCTCACCACTGACATCCTTAGTACCCAGTCTGAGGCATGCTGATCCTTCTTCCCAGCACTGGGCCTCCAGAAAACTAGGACCACTCATGGTGTGATGAGGACACACCTTCAAGGGTTAGGCAGACGACATACCCAGACTGAGGCCAGCTGCGGGTTAAACAGCAGCTGAATGAATGGGGAAGGTGGGTGCCCTCAACAGAGGGTGGCACACCTCTCTGCCTCACCAATTGCTATTAAAGAAATGCAGTTCAATATTGCCTAGTTTTATTTCTACAGAAAAGTTGAAAGGCTGACTTTGTAGGTGAAATTTCTGATTTTTAAATGCCATCAACTACAATTAAAACAAGCACCATGAGGCCAACAAAATACACTGCCAGATGTGGCCCAAAGGCCCTGCTCTGTGTACACTGTCACCTGTAAGCTCCACGACACTCTGGAAAGATATATTATTCCAGATAATCCCGATGAGGAAACTGAGGCAGAGAGAGGTCAAAACTTGCTGAAGGACTCCCCAACAGGAAATGACGGGACAAGAATTCTAACCCAGGCTGTCTTACATCAAAAGTCCATTCAGGTGTGACAGTCTCAAGGGGCTAGTTTGAATTTCCAAGGACCTCAAGCCGTGGAGAAGCCCAGCAAAAAAAGTTACTTAAGGCTATTTCTTTCTTAATTTCTCTTTACTCTAAAAAAATCACTCATCTGCTTATTTTTAATGCCTTTCTTTCAATAGGCCAGGAAATAAAAATGCTTATTAGACCCACAGGCCATGATATTTTAAGCCTTCAGATAATCATATTTCCAAGTCAAATGTTAGGTGGGAATCCCCAGCACACCTCTCAGTTCCTGAAGCCTTTTCTTCCCTGCCGCAGGACCCAGCGGAACTTCCTGGTTTCCTGTCTACTTAAAGGCTGATGCTCCCCACCCCTTCCCCTGAGGAACTCCAGTCATTCAACCAGTCACACATCTACTCAGCACTTAAGACACTCAAAGGTGAAGTCTGCTCTGGGGGGGCTTTCCTACCTCCAGGGGCTCCTGCCTTTTATACACCTGTTGTGTGGTAGTATCTGTGTGCTACCATCTCCTCCACAAGACTTAGACACAGGGAAGTCAGACAGGGTGGGCAGTGATTCCATTAACTAAATGAGGAAGTAAAGGAAGAGACACAGCTCCCTCAGACTGGCAGCTCGGTCACTCAGCAAGCATACCACCTCCCTCCTGCAGGCACCAAGCCAAGTGTTGGGGATGCCGTGGTCTGTCTTCATCCAGCAAACATTCTCTGGAGCTGTTAGTGAGGCCAGTCTCCACAGGTTACTTGCTATGCCCACATAGTCAAGCACACAGGCCTTAAGTTTTTTTAAATTACACACCTTTTAGTTTTACCTGGCGTTAATAACTTTTTTCCATTTGCTTGGTTTTCTCTGTACCCATATCGAATTCACACTCAGACTCTCTGCTAGCATACAGATTTCCCTTCACACATTCACAGGCACTAAGCAACTGATCCTTTGCATGGACTTCCGTCCCCCACCCACCCCGCGTCTGTCATCATGATTTCCCTTCGTCATCTCTCCAGGGTTTCCATTGTCCCCCCTCTTCCTGGGCCCCATGCTTTCCTGTCTCTTGGCTTAGCCTGTTATTTGATGGTGTACATCCTCCTGTGGCTTCCTAAAAGGGAGCTTGGGAGATCAGAGATGAATTGTTTCCAATCCGCATGTATGAAAATGTGTGAGGTCCTTATCCTCACACCTCATTTACTGGAAGATTCCAGGGTGAAAGTCCATCCCCTTCAGAAAGTTGACGGTGTTGCTCCAAGCTCTCTAGCTTCCGTTACTACTGGGAAGTCTGATGTCTCCTCTCTGGAGGCTCTTCAAGCCCCAGACTTCTGAAGTCTCAGGCTGTTGGATCCTGGTGTGGGTTTCTTTATGTTCATCATGCTAGACATCTGCTAGGTCTTTTGATCTAGAACTTAACAGCCTTCAGATCTGGGAAAATTCCGTGTCATTTCCCGTCATCTCCTCCTTTCTACTCCCCTGCACACACTCCCTCCCCTTACTGTGAACTTGAACTCCTACTGTGTGGACATTGGATCTTTTAGACTCAGCTTCTTATTTTCAACTTAAAACTCTCCTATTTCCATCCCTTTTGAGTTTCTGTTCTTTACAGGAGATTTTCTCAACTTTATCTCACTATCTTTCCTTCCACCAAATCTTTTATTGCAATAGTCATATTTCTTTTATTTCCAAGAGCTCTTTCTTATTTTCTGCATGTCCCTCCTTTATAGCCTCTTGCTCTGGTTTCATGATGCAGTATCTTCCTTCTCTCCTTTCCTTTTCTTCTGCTCCTCATTTTAGTTCCATTTCCTAAGTTAGTTTCTCTTACATTCATGTTAGAGTTCTCAAATGCTTGGTGAAAAGTTAAAATGCTGGGGCTTCCCTGGTGGCGCAGTGGTTGAGAGTCCGCCTGCCAATGCAGGGGACACGGGTTCGTGCCCCGGTGCGGGAGGATCTCACATGCCGTGGAGTGGCTGGGCCCATGGGCCATGGCCGCTGAGCCTGCGTGTCCGGAGCCTGTGCTCCACAGCCTGTGCTCCGCAACGGGAGAGGCCACAACAGTGAGAGGACCGCGTACAGCAAAAAAAAAAAAAAAAAAGTTAAAATGCTTCATTAAGATACTGCTGTACATTAAAAGTCCTGTGTTTTGCAGGGTCAGGAAGAGAAAGGGAGAGGCTGCCATTGTGTGGGCTTCCATGAAGGGTGAGCAGGCAGAGGCTGGCTATTTTGCTAGGAATACCCTAAATTTCAGGATCTAGAAGACTTTTCTCTCGGACTGGTCAGTTTCTGCAGAAAAGAAGCCTCCAGCCTCTGGCTTTAGGGACTGTAAGCCTGGCTGCCAGCGTTTTAGGAGCCACAGGGGGAAAGGCAGTGAAGACTCCTACCTCACTGTGTATAGAGATTATCTCATACCGCCTGTTATCGGCACTGTACCCTGTCCCCAGCTGCATCTCATGTCTGAGTCTCAAAAGCCTCCAGTGCATCTTCTCTTGAGGTTAAGTCCAAGGAATGAGGAATCACTGGAGATACTAATGAGGAAAGACTGCTAAGTCACAAAGTCCAGACCTCTGTCTTTGTGGGAAAGGGCTTGTTACCTGGCTATGCCAAGTAGGGGAGGGGACCTGGGGGGTGCAATGGCTCTTCACAGACTATAAACCAATCCTCTTGTCTCTAGCCCCATCCAAACTGGTGCTTTCAGAGGTCCCTGGTTTATTTCAGGTTTGAGGTGTCCACTCTTGGCTACTGCCCCACACAAGCATTCAGCTTTCCCAGTCTGCTCGGTCAGTTACCGTTTGTACATCTGCCTTTGAGCACAAAAATGTAGACAACTCTCCCTGCTGTCACTTCCTGTCCTATTCTCTTTGTACTTGCAGGTTTATTCCTTTTATAGCCTATCATCACTAGGAAGGAGTTGGAAGAGTGCAGAAAACCACATCTATTCCTTCTGTCATCTTTTACTGAAAGCTCTGACCCTAAGATTTTTAAACAACTTTGGTTAATCAGGAGGAGTTAAACAGCATGGGATAAAAATCAAGAACTGAGAAAAATAAAGGACTAAGGAAGGTTTTTAAAGTTTCATAGTCTATTGTCCCTAGTTTAACTTTCTCAGAAAGTTCAAATCCCACCTCCACCACTTCCTGATTGCTTAACCTCATATAAGTTACTTAGCATCTCTTAACTTTAATCTTACCTGTAAAATGGTAATAATACCACCTACTTTGCAGGGCTAGAAAATGCAATCATGCAACACACAGATCAGGTACTTAAAAAATACTGGCTTAGCATAAGAAGGAAAAGATAAATTTCGGTTTCTGGACGCCAGGAATGGGAGATGTTGGAGGGACATCCATATAGAGATGTTTGCTGGGAGTCAGAATGGGTTTCATTCAGCAAACGTTTCCCAAGCGCTTTTTATTATAGAAGGTCCTGGGCCAGGCGCTGAGCAATAGAGTGGAAAAAATAACGTGAAATCATCCTACCTCAGGGCAGAACGTGGTAAGAGGGACAGGCTGGCACTTAGAGGGGAGAAGTGAAAACTGTCCGTGCAGCCCAGGCAGGAGCCGAGCCTGCCTTTACCTTTCTTGGTCTTGCAAGGTCCACGTTCAGGGTGGATCTCTTGTAAGGGAAGAGGCACCACCTTGGCCAGCCCCGCATTCAGCATGTACTGGTACAGGCGCTTAAATGTCCTCTCGCACAGCCCCTGCAAAATTGAAACGCTGCTGTTAGGTAGAGCAAGGTGTTTGAAACTATTGGAGGGTCATGTACACGAACAAGCGGGGACCTGAGTTAACTGATGATCTTGAATGAGGAATCACTGGAGGCACTAATGAGAAAATACTGCCAAGCTACCTTGTCCAGGGAACAAAACGCGTCTGCAGCAGCATATAAACCATCCATTTGATTATGAGTGGGGAAGAGATTCCCCCACTGAAAGGGGTGAGAATGAGGCAGATGGGGGCAGCACTAGAAGGTTTTCACTGTATACCGTTCCATCTTGTTTTGGTTTTTTTAAACAAGTGTATTATTAATTATTAATAGATATATACATACGTACACACACCTCTCACAGGCAGTGGAAGAGAAAAAATTAAATTTAAGACCTTTAAAAAAATTTAGTCTATCTGTGAAGTTACAACAAAATGAGGATGGGTACATCCACCCCGTCACTCACATTTCTGCGAGGAGGCAACACAACCAAAATGACCCAAAGCGCTCCTAACTGTCGAGGTTACCAACGAGCAGCCTCCAGTGCAGGCCGTGTTTTTTCGTTTTCTTTGAAAAAGGTAATTTACGGGGCTTCCCTGGTGGCGCAGTGGTTGAGAGTCTGCCTGCCGATGAAGGGGACGCGGGTTCGTGCCCCGGTCCGGGAAGATCCCACATGCCGTGGAGCGGCTGGGCCTGTGAGCCATGGCCGCTGAGCCTGCGCGTCCGGAGCCTGTGCTCCGCAACGGGAGAGACCACAACAGTGAGAGGCCCGTGTACCGCAAAAAAAAAAAAGTAATTTACTTGCCAACATTGAAAAGTGAGAGAGTTCATTTTAAAAAAAACAGACTCTGGCTTCTCTTGAAAAACAGGATCTGGCAACAAATCCTAGGCCTGCGGTTCCTCCCAGCATCAGCCAGAGGGAGGTGAGGACCAGCTGCTCCCTCCAGACAGGCACGCCCGACCCGGACGCCCTGGCCTTCTCTGCCCATCAGACCCCTTACATGGTGAGGCCGAAGGTCAGTTCCTGTTTACCACCATTTTTGTGCTGCTTTTCTCTCATGATAGTTAAGAGGAAAGTTGAATAATTCTTGAATCCACACTGATATAAAAAAAATTTTTTTTTTTCTGCCCACGCCACGGGGCTTGCAGGATCTCAGTTCCCCAACCAGGGATTGAACCCGGGCCACAGCAGGGAAAGCACTGAATCCTAACCACTAAACCACCAGGGAACTCCCTCAAAAAATTATTTTACACTTGGCCTGTTTCACTAATCCATACCACCCTCCTGGCCACTACTAGCATTTGATTTTGCCACCACAGGAAGAGCCAGGCAGGTTACCACCTGAACAGCAGGAGGCACTCGCGACTAAGAGTGGTGCATGGCACCTCCCAGGTTTCCTCTTACACTCTGGGGCAGAGACAGGCAGCATGTGTCTGAGGGCTGCTGCCACCACCCACGTACGTGTGATCACCTCTCGGAGGAGCCAGTACGCTAACTGCTGGGCAGAACATACTGCTATCAAAGAAATACAGACAACTCACATACGGCTCACTTAACCCGCTGGCTGGTAAATGGCACCTCCTGTTAATCCAGCCGTGCCCCCAGCGTCATGGAAAGACCTTATGGAAACGCATCCATCGAACCCTAGCCCTCAACATATGGCCCTGAGCCCTGGACCATCCTATGGGGGGCTGCCATCGAGGACTCACATAATCTGCCCAGAGGATGAAAGATGACATAGTCCTTCCCTTACGGGGGCGCTACCGTTGAAGACTCGCACAACCTGCCCAGTTAAAGAAAGTGGCCTTCCCCACTCCCCGCAAAAGACAGCATCCATATTCACGGCGTCCACCTCATCCAGAGGTTAATTATTCACTAAATCCTGCTCAGCCTTCTCTGACCCCTATTTCCAGCTGCTGACTAAACATCACCAAGTCAAAGTCCCAGAAGATCTTCATACTCAATAAATCCTAAAATCAAATTTGTCATGTGCCTCAATCTCAGGCAAACTCACTCCTCTTCCTGAATTCTGTACTTTCATTGTACACTCATTCAACAAATCTGGGCTCAGCGTCTCCGTGGGCCAGGCCGTCCTCATGGTGGGGGGTTGGCAGGCACGATCCCTGCCCTCAGGTACCCGCCCTCCAGCTCTGGTCCACCCCAGGGAGGGGTTGCCACTCAAGCTAGACAACAGACTCCTTCTCCTTCGTTGCTCCCCACACCCGACACCCACACCCTGGCTTCAGTCACTCACCAAGTCCTGCTAGTGCCACCCCCCAAATATCACCAACAATTCAAGGCGTCACCCACCCTACCTGAGGCCACAGCACCCACCTCCCCACCCTGCCTCCAATCCCCTCCCCATCCATCAGTTCATCTCCCCAACACTCAAACTGCAGTTCACCAGGCTAAAGGCTGAAACCCAAGTCCTCAGCCTGGTACTCTAGACCTTCTTTATCTGGCTCCAACTTTCCTTTCCAGCCACGTCTCTTACTACTCCCGCCGGGCACGCTGCCGCCTGGCTGCTCCGTGTCACTGCCAGCCTCGGAAACACCCCATCACCTCCCACAGCTCCACGCCTTTGCTCCAGCCCGTCTCCTCTGCCTGAAAGATGGTCTCTCCTCTGCCGGACGATGCTGACTTCATCTTCAAAGCCCAGCTCAACTGGAACTGGCTCTACAAAGCTTTTCCCATCTCTCCTTTCACGCAACTCAAACACATCCTTCCAAGGAGCATTCTGGCCTGAGTGTGTGTTCACACGTCAGCCCCTCCAATTAGACTGCTCTGCGGCAGTGTAAGACTGTCATCCTTGTTCATTTTTGCCATGGTGGTGCGAACCACAGTTCTAGCTCCAAATAGATACTCACTAAAGTATTTGTTGAATGAATAAATAAATAAACAGTGTCCTCTATCAGTCAAATCTTGTCACTTAGATCGTCCACAGCTTGACCTGAGATGCTCAGTTTCTCTACCCTTGAGTGACTCAGCAGGGCAGAGGGTTTCGATCTTCAGTGTCTGCATGGGCTGGACGAACAATATAAAGAACAAAGCGGGCAGATATTTCTTTGCGCTTGTAGGAGTTTCCTTCATCTTGACTAGGGCCTCTCAGGAAGAGGCCTTACCAGTCGACCTTTTATTCCCCACTTTTGACAGACACTCAGATACTGAGAAATATTTCTCTCCTCCTGAACAGCAGCGCTCATAGAGTGACAAATGGCACTGCCTGTGTATCTGAGAGGTGACAGGAGGGAAGGGGCCTGGGGTGGGCGGCCAGTACACAGCCAGCTCCAGATAACTGCTATCACAAGAGACCACGGGCCCAGGCTGGCCAGAGCCTCTGATATTTCCAGGGAAGCCGGTAACCTAGATTTTGAGGCAAAATCTCAATTTTTAAAAGATGCTAGGTCAAAGTTCTTTTTAACAATGTGCAGGCTGAATCCGACCCACAAGCTTTGGTTTATAACCTCTGCTTTAAAGAGACTTGGGCATACAGTGCATTTAGCAGGAGGGGCGAGAGCCCTTCCCTCAGCGCAGTGAAATCAGAGAGCAGAGCCCCCTGGGGGCAGCGCAAGGTGAGCAGCAAGAAGGATCTACCTGGAGTCTACAACCTGGAGTCTACAACCAGACTCCAAGCCATGCTCCTTTGGGGACTAATTACTATCACCCCCAAATCTTGACTTCAAATCCTACTGTTTCACCTACAGCGCAGTTGTACTTTCCTCCCGTTTCCAGTGATGGCTCTTTCCTAACTTCTACGGAGGACGGCTCAAATCAGACCGGAAGCAGCATCACCCCTGTGCTTTCTTCCTCCCACTCTCACTTCATTACTGCCTCTGTTCCTGGACCCAAAGATGAAGCAGGTCCATAACTGCTTTTCTCCCTGTGTTGTCTCTCCTCCTTCTCAGTAGTCACTCTGTTATTTCAGCATAAAACCACTGGGAACAAAATGACAAACTTGATTATGAAAGTAAATCTAAACGCTCAGATTCACCATTCCACAGGAACTTTTATAGCAGGACTTGGCGCAAATCCCCGGGGAAAACTGAAGGCCACCCAAGAGCAGGAAGGACTTAAAGACTGAGCCTTTTTTCATTCTGTAAAGCAAAGTTCTGCTTGTTTCATGGCTACGTTAACAGAGAAGAGCCAATTCTGACTCCATGTTGTTGTTTCTTTGACTTTAACCTTTGCTTTTCGTTGCTTTTGTTATTATAATCATACATAATGACCTGCCTCAGGGAACCCTGCCCCTCTGCCTGAAAGTTGAACTAAAGTGCCTTTGTTCAGCTCACAGGGAGACAATCTGACCCTGCCCACCTGTGAATCGCTGCACAAAAGAAATTAACATATCCCCTCCCTGATGCTGGCCAAGTCAGGCAAAACTAATGGCCATTTTACTTTACTTCCTCACCTCCTACCCCGCTCTGTTCTATAAAAAAAACTGGCATCCAGACCCGGATAGGATGGTTTGTGGGCATCTTCTCAGTCTGCCGACTTTCCTAATAAAGTCATTATCCCTTTGCCTCAATACCTCGTCTCCCGATTTACTGGCCTGTTGTGCGGCGGGCAGAACGCGCTTGGACTCGGTAACAGCTAGGGATGGTCAAGCCCACGACAGGGTTTTCAACTGCGGTGCACTGAAATCTACACTTGACAATGCTCCCCACTGCGTTACAAACGGATCCAGCCCCCCACACGGGCAGGGGCAGCTCACCAGTTCCTCCCTCAGCTTTCCCAGTGTCTCTGTCCGGTTACTCCGTGTGCTCAGCACAGCCGAGAGCTTCTCCATAAGGATGTCGTATTTGCTCCTCCTGTGAGAAATATAAAACACTTCATTTTTTTCCAGACCTACTGCTAAAGACTGCCTGTTTTTTAAAGATGACAAGATTTAAATGACAACACATCAAACTACAGAACCTCGTGGTCTTAGGTCTCAGAGAACATCCAGCCCAACTCCTTGTCCCTTACAGCTGGAAACAGTGGGGCTCTGTCTCACGGCCAAGGTCATCGAACTAGTGGCAGTGTACAGACTAGCCTCGGCGGCTAAAACTGTCATGAAATGATTCTTTAAAATGCCTTACATCTTTTGATCATACTGATAAATGGAGTACTGCCAGCCGTATCAGTAAACAAAGGATGTCACAGTCATTAGTAATTGCAGCCCTCCAAGGTGAGCCAGTGAGCCCTGAGGGAACTCAGGAAAGAAAGAATACCTGCCATCTAGCAGCCATCAGACTGCGGCCACTCCCCATGGTGGGCCCTGAGGAAACTCAGGATGTGAAAACACAGGATACTGGCCCCATATATATATAATAGCTGAGGTGCATATCAAAGGAATGATTTCAGTAAGCCCAAACTCTTGCACCTTGCCATACACAGAAATGCGGTAAATTCCTTAACTTGGTTTTCTTTAACAATTATCTTTTGACGTTCAGATTACCTGCCCTGGGCTTGAAGTCCTAAAAATTCCCACCGAATAAAACATTTAGATTGTGATTATTTTTTGAGTTGACAATACCTTAAAGTTTAGGAAGCACTAACATATTTCCTTATAAATCACTTGGTAAGAAAGGATAGGGATTATTTCATAAAGAAGTTAAGCTTTTCTAAAATGCAGGCAAAAAATGTGAACCCAGGTCTTCTTCCTGGAAATACAGTGCCCTCTGCAGTAATCAGGACACCTCTCTGATTCTGAAGCCCTGGTTTCTATCTCTCACTTCGCTGGCATGACTGACTTTCCCTTCCTTTGCATTTTTATTGTGAAGTGGATGTCATAATAAATGCTTACAAGCTAATGGATGCCAAAGGAAGCTATTAAAGGAGCCAAGGGCTACCCCAGCTGTGTGTGGGTGGGTGGGGGGTGTTGGAGGAGCAGAGAGGAAGGTATTGTCATGCAGCTGGGGAAGGTGAACTTGGCTTTAACTGCCCACAGGTTTAGCAGCAGGGAGGGCATCTACATATGGGATCCAGAGACGCCCCCTTCTCCATTTTTACTGCCTTTCAATGAATGAAAGAATAGATGAAGGCACAGATATTCACTGCGTATGAACTAGTACCAAGCTTTGTCATGGCCATTCTACAGAAGAGGAAACAGTGGTTCAGAGAGGTCAAGTGATGGTGCCCAAATCAGGAGCAAAGACTTAAATACAGATCTTGACTTAGTCCATTGTTCTCTCTTCTACCCACAGAACCCTGTCACCATAACAAATCAAATTTGACTTATTTACTTTTATTTTTACACTCCCAAATTTCACCAAAATGTTAACAGTTCCTATTGCTGGGCTGTGGGGTGATAGGCATTTTTTGCCCTTCTTTTCTATATAATTTCCGGATTTTCTAAATAAGCAACACTTATTCTCATAATCCAAAATAGGTGGTAAACATCTTTTTTTAAAAGCTAGTCATATTCTGATTTGGCCTCTAGGATTTTTTAAAGGTATAATACACATGGCTGAAAGACAGAGGTAAGGGAGCATTCTGGTGTCTCACACTGTACCTGTCCATGTGAAACCGATTCAGGAGGAGGAGAATTGAGTGCTGCTGGGCTCCGGTGGGTAATCGGATCACATGTGACTGCATCGTAATGAGCCCATTTTTGTTCAAAATTTTCCTATGATAGTGGAGCTTCCCAGCATCAACCCTGGAGGAGAGGAAGAGAGTGGGCGGTCATTTTGCCTTGCTGGTTGCTTTCACCCCACAGTGTGTGGAGGACATGAACACCAGAGACACACACCTCCTATCCAGCCAACCTGAGAGAACAGTTGCTATGTGACAATGGCCTTGGAAAGAACAGCCATGCCTCAGCCTAAGGCACACCCCAGACCCCCAAGAGAGGTGGATGGGGAGATGGGGGTAAAGGAGAGGGGAAATGGAGTGGGAAAGGATGGCTGGCGCAGGAGACAGTAAGGGTTATATTAGCAAGGAGCTAATCAGACATGGGTCTCTAATCATATAGCGGCCTGATAACTAGGGTTGCCATGCATTCTGGCTCGCCAGGTGGTCTAAGTTTATACCCATTGCCTTGGTGTCCCTTCTGGTCAGCTCCACCTTCCACTCTCAAAATGTCTGGTTTGGACAATAAATTCTATGGTCACCCCAGGGTCTTTCTCTCTTTCTTTTCTTTTTTTCTTTTTTCAGCTGCAACATGAGGCATGCAGGATCTTAGTTCCCCAGACCAGGGATCAAACCCATGCCACCCTGCAATGGAAAGGCAGAGTCTAAACCACTGGACTGCCAGGGAGTCCCCTTTTTTTGGTCTTTTTTCCAGGGTCTCTTCAATGAGAAAGCATCGTGCTTCCAATCACCATGGATGTGGGGACTGCCCAGGTGGCAGGGCCCAACGATCAGGGAGCCCCAGCATTTACAGCAGAGAAGCAAAGCATCCCCTCACTTGAAAGCAGTGCTGTGGAGGTCTCGTTGGAGCTCCCCTTGCCACCGGGACCGGCCTAATCGCTCCAAAATGCAGTAGGAGAAGTCGGGGAGCTTCAGGTCGGGGTCACCCTCTAAGCCGATCAAGGCCCGGTACCGCATGTCTTGGGAAGCAACAATGATCAGTTTCTTCCGCCACCTGCAAATCAGAAGCCACCGCAAGAAGAAATAACTGTAATTGATTTTTAAGAAAATCGAAATATGAAAAAGCAGAACCTTAGTGAACCATCATTTCCTGCTTCTTCTTGGAGGTTCACAATCCCCTAGTTAAGGAGGTTTCCATCCTAGAACCACAGAGTGTTCAGGGGGAACAGAGCCAGTCTCACCAGTTCCTTGCTCAGAGCCCTCCCCGTCCGGCCAGGGCCCTCAGACCATACCCCCGACTCCTAACCAGGGCCTGGCCCATCCTACACACCCCCACGGCCCTGCCCTGCGTCCACAACAGCCCCGCTGGTCCTCTGCCCAGCTGCTCTGCCCTCACGTCTTCAGGCCACTGATTCTCATCATTCAGGTCACTGCTCAGATACCAACACCTCAGGTCTTCCTGAAAATGCTAACCAGAGTCTATCCCCCACCTCTGACCATTTCCAGACTCTTCACAGCACCTGGCACTCAGAAATGGCCGCTTTTTGGGGCACACATTTCTGAAATAAGCGCCCTAAGAGGGGGCAGGTTGTCATCAGGGTCCCCAAGACATCCTCAGGGCCTAGAATGGTTCTGGTGCACAGCAGGGTCTCTGTAAATATCTAATAAGTGAACAAACTCGCCTACTGAACTGGATGGATAAAACAAACTTCAGAATCAAAAACAGTGCCCTGTGTCATCAGTGGACCTGCAGTCTGTTGGAGACCAGACTTGGGACAAATCATTAGTTCCTCCTACTGTCTTGGTGTGTGAAAAATAATGCCCGAAAAAGAGGCCAAGAACACTTCCCAGCCAGGTGCTTCGAGATGTCGCAGCTGGGAAAACTGACTTCTCTGCTGAGGTCTAACAGTCTACGGCGCTGAAGATGGAGACTCCACCCTGGCGCCTTACCTGCTGACTTAAATGGCCATCTTGGGCAGATTGTCTCAGGTCCTAGCCCTGCCAGAGATCCCACAAGGGTGGGCTGGCAGAGAAGCTATCCCCACTCACTCCTTGGCATCGAGACGCACCAGTTGGAGGAGCTCCCTCTCCCAGGGGAATGAGTCACCAAGGGTCCATATTAGAGCCCAAGGGCTCCCAACCTCTCCCACCTATAGCCACCATCTACTGCTCCCAGCCTGTGGTTTACAGATGCCTGATCGCAAGGCCTGTCTTCAGTCACATCGCTCAGTCTGACAGTTCCTCCTCTTGGCCCCCCCTTGCCGCCCAATATACCAGATGACTTCATTGCTCCCACTGAAGAGGCAAAAAGGAAAAAGAGGAGGAACTGCCCATTGCCATGTCTACATTTTCATTTAACTGCAGCTTCTTTCACGTTGCCTGTGACCCATAATTAGTCTTCTGCATAGTCACAGGGTCTGTATGGTCCATCTTCAAAAAAGAATGTTAGGCTGTGAATACACGTGACGGACAGAAAGTCTACTTTTCTGTGTCTGTGTGTCACAAACTTAGGACCTGTGTTCTCTGTCTCGAAACAGGCTCATTACGTTAAATTGGAAGAGGTCAGTTGAGAAGAGAAAAGTTTGAAAACAGGGGAGCTGATTTGCTGCTTTAAGAATGTGTTCAGGGTGGTTTACTCCTGTCCTATCAGAACTCCAACGTCTCCCAGTAGCTGACTCTAGGACTCCGGCCCGAGGCCCACTCTGCTGACCCTGGTCATCACATAGGTTATCCAACACTGATGAAGTGCCACGCAAGGTACCGGAGATGCCAAGATAAATAAAAATGGCATCTGCCTTCACGGAGCTCAGTCTACTGAAGAGAAAGACAAGAAAAGGAACACTTACTCTGGGATTCGATAACTGTGGTCAAGGTCATGGAATGACATGTGTGAGGAGCCCCAGTTCAGGCCTATGTGTGTGAAGAGAGCATGTGTGCAGTCACCAGGGAGAGCTCTTCCTGAGCTAGCAGGAAGCCGGGTGGGGGAGGGTCAGGAAGCAGAAGCTGCAAAGCTCCAGAGCCAGAGGAGGGGAGGGGAGGTCAAGAGGAAGGAGGAGTGAGTATAGCTGTTTCTTCCAAGAAGCATGGCTGCAGCAACGGAATCACAGCTACGGGGGATCCAAGGCCAAGAGGTCTTGTTTTAAGAGGAACGCGCCATGGTAATGGGCTGACGAGAAAGTACTGGTCAACAGGCAAAAAGCTGCAAATAAAGGAGAAAGAGGAGCTGGCTGACAGAGGTTGGAAAGAGCACGAGGTACGGGGGGGAAACGGAGGAAGAGAAGCATCCAGATGACAGCCGGAGGCAGGGCCAGGCTTCCTGTCTCCCCTGAGGTGAGGGAGGGGGAGAGAAATCCGGGCAAACCTGCAAGCTGAGGAAGAAGGTGGCAACTAGGAGTTCACACTGGAAGCTTCTCCCTGTTCCGTCAGGTAGGAAGGGAGGTAGGGATGGGGCGAGGGGCTTGAGACAGCCTGGGAAATTGGGACCCTGACTGAAGACTCACAAAAGTACGGCTGGGCAGCAGAGGACGCAGCCTGGACAAGAGAGCGAAAGGCACCAATCCAAATGACAGCTGCCTGCCCTGCCCAAAGGGCCAGGCGGCCTGTGGACACAAAGGGAAAAGAAAGGCAGCGCCCCACCCCCGCCCCCAGCAAAACTAGCCCCAAGAGGAGGGGAGTGGTAAAGGACTGGCTTGGGGCAGGGCGGACGCACTCTGATGGGCACGAGGGCGGCACGCCAGTTGTGGCGCTCTGACCACACCCCCAACTTAAAGCAGGAAGATGCCCACAAGTTTCCCATGATGCAAATCAGTTACCTGCCAAAGGCTTCCACCATCGTACAGCGGGGCTGTAACGTCTTGGTCCTTATGTCACTGGTAATGTTTTTCCTCTCCTTAAAGTACCGGCATGAGCCCTGGATGCCATCTTTATTCTCCAAGATCATATGAATGGGGTAGACATCCTCCAAAGGGACCGGGTCCCTCCTGGACTCCAAAATGCCAGTTTCCAAATCAATTTCTTCATACCTAAGGGGGAGATCACAGATATCAAACCACAGCTCAGCCTCAGAAATAACCCGTTTGGCATGTTCTTCTGACAACCTCTGGCAGAGGTCAGACAGAGGAAGTGCGATCACCTGGTCGCACCCGTCTTCCAAACGCAGGTCATCTTAACAAGCAGCGTCCCTGCCTCTCTATCCCAGACAAGAGACTTTTCTAGGAGTCTCTGAATCCACCCTGGAACGCTGAATGCTGAAACCAGAACCACCTTCCTGGCCCAAGTCATGGCCTTTTGTTTTCCCCCCAATCCAGTGCCTGGTCTCCAAACCATCAAGTTTGGACTTAATGACTCAAGGCTTCCCTACTTTAAGATGTTACCTTTCCACATATTTTTAGTTATCCCTCTCGTACTTCCATCCATTTTTATGGTTTCAATTATCACTTGCATATTAACAATTCTCACCATCAAATCCTCAGTCTTGTTTTTCCCCCAAACACTAATCCTGCCTTCAACTGTCTACGCCTCAGATCTGATGAGATCAAAACTAAAGTTATGGGCTTCCCTGGTGGCACAGTGGTTGAGAGTCTGCCTGCCGATGCAGGGTACACGGG